TAGTACTAACACTACTACTGCTGCTGCTAGTGCTACTGCGGCTTCTAGAACTGCTGCTGCTGCTGCTGCTGCTGCTGTTGCTGCTGCTGCTGCTGCTGTGGCGCACTCCTGCTACAGCCCTGTCGCCTCCTGCTGCCAGTACACTCCTTAATGCTGCAGCAGCAGCAGCAGCAGCGCCAGCAGTACCAGCAGCGCTAACCGGAACCCTAGCAACAGAAACAGCAGCAGCAGCAGCAGCAGCAGCAACAGCCGCCGGGTCACCAGCAGAAAGCCAAAGCCTTGTATCCTTGAGTGCACGCGCTAAGCAGCAGCAGCAGCAACAGCAGCAGCAGCAGCAGCAACAGCAGCAGCAGCAGCAGCTAGACCCGCTGCTAGGCTAGTAACGGCTGCCCTAGATTGCTCACAACTATGCACAGGTTCTGGGGGTCCGTGCCGCAGCTGCAGCAGCAGCAGCAGCAGCAGCAGCAGCGGCAGAAGAAGGAACAGCAACAGCTGCAGCAGGAGCAGCAAGAACAGCTCCAACCCTAGAGACAACAGCTGTGCATGCAGCTGCAGCTGCTGCAGCAAGAGAATGAGCAGCGAGCGCTCAGCAGTCAACGAGCAGCAGCAGCAGCAGCAGCAGCAGCAACAGCTGCTGCTGCTGCATGCACAGCACCAGGGGACCCCAGTAATTAATGATATTCTGTTATATGCCGAAAGGAATAAAAATTAAATTAATTATTATATTGATTTCACTAATAAAAGACCGTTAGGGGGGCCCCTGAGGGGCCCCCGCTGCAGCAGCAACAGCAGCAGCGCAGCAGCTGCAGCAGCGGCTGTCGGCTGCTGCTGCTGCTGCTGCTGCTGCAGCCGCTGATGGGGGATGTGTCTGCATGCAACAGGTTGGAGCGTGCAGCAGCAGCAGATGAAATTAGGAAATAAAAACAAAATAGCTGTCAGTTTATTGTAGCAGCAGCAGCAGCAGCAGCAGCAGCAGCAACAGCAGCAACTCTTAGAGAATAGGCGCGTGTGTCGCGTAAGTCCTGGGGAGTCAAAACTGCAGCAGCAGCAGCAGCAGCAGCAGCAGCAACTTTATTTATAATTTATTTATTTTTATAACGATGTTTACCTTAGACAGGATGGCAGAGGCGGGGGCGCTGCAGGGCTGCCCGCCTGCAGCAGCAGCAGCAGCAGCAGCAGCAGCAAATCCTGCTGACACGCGAAACCCTGTAACCACCACCTCTTCGGTCTTGGCCATCACCTACAAAGACGGAATCCTCATGGTTGCTGATACTACAGGTGCTGCAGCCTAGGGCTTAGGGTTTAGGGTTTAGGGTTTAGGGTTTAGGGTTTATGTTTGCCTGATGCTGAATGTATGTGGTTGCATATATGTTTCTGTGTACACATCCATCTCCAGTTGTATATGCATATCTGCTTATTGAACCCCCAATGTTTAGGGTTTAGGGTTTAGGGTTTAGGGTTTAGGGTTTAGGGTTTGTGTGGATCAGTATCATACGGGCGTATGATTCGTTTCCGGGGTCAGCCGCGTTTTATATCTTTAAATAACAAAACCCTAATTTGTACATCTGGGGAGTATTCAGATCACCAGTTTCTGCAGCGTGAGTTAGAGGCATTGGTGGAGGAGGATGCGCTGCATGCATCCAGCAGCAGCAGCAGCAGCAGCAGCAGCAGCAGCAGCAGCAGCAGCAGCAGCAGGGGGGATGCGCTGCTGACACCCAAAGCTATCGCCAGCTACACTGCTCGCACTCTATACAACAAACGCTGCCGCTTCAACCCCTACTGGCTCTCTGTTATTGTTGCGGGGCACGAGGGGGCCCCCACAGGCATTCACGAACAGCAGCAGCAGCAGCAGCAGCAGCAGCAGCAGCAGCAGGGGGAGGGGGAGGGGCAGCAGAAGGGGATGTACTTGGGGGCCATTGATCTCCTCGGCACTTTCTTTGAAGAACAAGTCGTTGCAACAGGTGCTGCTGCTGTTGCTGCTGCTGTTGCTGCTGCTGCTGCTGCTGCTGCTGTTGCTGTTGCTGTTGCTGCTGCTGCTGTTGCTGCTGCTGCTGCTGTAAAGGGTGCGCTCTCTGGTGCTGCTGCGAAGGCGGTGCAGCATTCGCTCGAGTTGCTGCTGGCAGGGCCTGTCTATAGTCCTTTAAGCTGAGTTTTTGCTGCTGCTGCTGTTGCTGCTGCTGCTGCTGCTGCTGTTGCTGCTGCTGTTGTTGCTGCAGGTCTTGGGCGTTACTTTGCCATTACTTTGATGAGGGAGAAGCACCGCCCGGACATGTCTGAGGAGTAAGCTGCTGCTGCTGCTGCTGCTGCTGCTACTGCTGTTGCTGCTGCTGTTGCTGTTGCTGCTGCTGTTGCTGTTGCTGCTGTTGTTGGTGCTGCTGTTTCTCCTGCCGCTACTGCTGCGGTTGCTGTTGCTGCTGTTCCAGCTCCTTTCTTCAAGGCTGGATGTTCGCTGTAACATGTGGGTGCTGCTGCTGCTGCTGCTGCTGCTGCTGTTGCTGCTGCTGCTGCTGCTGCTGCTGCAGGGAGGCGCGTGAGCTGCTGGAGGAGTGCATGCGGATTTTGTTTTACAGAGACTGTGCAGCCTCCAATGAGGTACGAGCAGCAAAAGTCATTGCTGCTGCTGCTGCTGCTGCTGCTGCTGCTGCTGCTGCTGCTGCTGGTGTGTCTGCTGCACGCCCGGCTATCGTTCTGCTGTTGCTACGGCTGCTAGCGCTGATGCTGTTGTTCTTGCTGCTGTTGCTGCTACTGTTGCTGCTACTACTGCTTCTGCTGCCACTGCTTCTCCTGCTACTGTTGCCGCTGCTGCTGT